TATATATATATATATATATATATATATATATATATATATATATATATATATATATATATATAAATAAATATATATATATTTTTTTTTTAAACTACTAAAAAAAGTGTAGTAAGTACTGTACATCTAATTAATTAATATTTCTCACTATTTAAATGAATTTATACATTGTATATATATATATATATATATATATATATATATATATATATATATATATATATATATATGGACACCTACAATAAAGTGAAACCTAACAATTGAATTATGACTATTTACAATATTAGCAGTAGTACATAAAGATGTACATTTTACAGTTTATTCTACAATAGTAATATGGTAATTTTGATATTATACATTATATCTTGTTTATACAGCAGTGTATCCTCAAGATACCTTACAAGAAATCATCAGCTTCCAATTGTGCTTCATAATGAAGGTAAACCTGGAAATGCTGTCTAGTTAGCACCCTCACTAGGTTTTAAACAGATGTATTATTTAAAGAGATAAGAAATCAGCAGGTTTCCAGCTTCCGATACAGTGGCTTGCACGAGTAAAGCGATTGTTAACTAATGAGTGAAGTTGGCATGCTGTTGCCGTCATCTCTCCTCTCGCTGACAGCGGATGTCCAACCCTGGGGTTTTAATATCATGAAGGCACACTATTAAAGCCAAGACAGTTATTAATGAAAGAAGCGAAATTGGCAGCCAACTACTCTGAACCGTCTGACCAGTGAAGGTTAAGATACAATAGAGTCTAATTTTAGACGACTCCTCTCCCCCCCAGCAAGTAAAGAACTTAATGCTTTTTATTCAGTGGAAGATGGACATTTTTATGATGACATTTTAAAGGGTGACCATACCTGTTACTCATAACGATGTGTCTCTCTATCTCTCCTTTTACACATATTTCACCCTCTTTTTTTGGCATCGGTATGTGCTCTGAACAGACAGACTTCAGCCGTGAGGAATTACAGAGACATCTGATTCTGACTTACACAGACAAAGTCTTAAACTGTTCAATTAAACTGCAGTAATCTGAGATGGACTCATCCAGATCATTAAAAGCTGGGTTTCTGAGGCTCTCACTTTTGCTGGGTTATAAATGATAGACATCTACTGTATAAGAACGCACAAATAACATGCAAGTGCAAAATTGCATTAGTCCTCACAACTAAAAACCCTAAACCCTATCCTAACTACAGCTAAAAACTCTAAACACAAACTCTAACCAGAACTAAAAACTCTAACCATACCTAAAAGCCCTAAATTCTAACTCTAACCACAACTAAAAACCCAAAACCCAAACCCTAACCCTAACCACAGCTACAAACCCTACTAAAAACCCAAAACCCTAACTACAGCTACAAACCCTAAACCCTAACCACCACCAAAAACCCAAAACCCTAACCACAACTACAAACCCTAAACCCTAATCACTACAAAAAACCCAAAACCCTAACTAAAGCTACAAACTCTAAACCCTAACCAACACAAAAACCCTAACCCTAGCCATACCGAAAACCCAAACCATACTACAAACCCTAACCACTACTTAAAACCATAAACCCTAACTCTAGCCACACCAAAAAAACCCTAAACACAACAACAAACCCGAAACCCTAACAACTACTGAAAACCATAAACCCTAACCCTAGCCACACCTAATAAACTCAAACCTTAACCACAACTAAAAACCCTAGATCCTAACCACTAGCCACAGCTAGCCACACCAAAAAAACACTAAACCCCAACCGCAACTAAAAAACCCTAACCCTAACTACAACTAACCTAAACCATAACCACAAGTTTAAAACCCTAAACCCTAACCCTAGTCACACCTAAAAACTCTAAACCCTAACCACAAGTAACAATCCTAAACCCAACCTTAAACCCTAAACTGCAACTCTAACTACAACTAAAAAACATAAACCCTAATCACAACCACACCTAAAAACCCTAAACCCTAATCCCAACCACACCTAAAAACCCAAACACTAACCACAACCACACCTAAAAACCCTAAACCCTAATCACAACCACACCTAAAAACCCAAACACTAACCACAACCACACCTAAAAACCCAAACACTAACCACAACCACACCTAAAAACCCAAACACTAACCACAACCACACCTAAAAACCCTAAACCCTAATCACAACCACACCTAAAAACCCAAACACTAACCACAACCACACCTAAAAACCCAAACACTAACCACAACCACACCTAAAAACCCTAAAGCCTAACCACACCTAAAAACCCTAAAGCCTAACCACACCTAAAAGCCCTAAGCACAACTAAAAAACCCAAACCCTAATCTGAAGCACAACTAAAAACCCTAAACCCTAATCCTAAACACAACAAAAAAACTAAACTCTCACCCTAAGCACAACTAAAAAACCTAACCCTAACCACCACTAAAGACGTTAAACCCTAACCCTAACCACAACTAAAAACCCTAAACCCAAAACCTATGCTCAACAAAATACGATTTTACAATGTTTAATTATACAGCTCCTTAAATGATTATTTCACCCCTAAATGAAAATCACTCAATTGTTCACTTACTGTTGAGCCATCCTTGTGTAAAATATATGACTTTTATCTGTCTGACCAACACAGTGAGTAGTTTTAATTTTATCCTGGCTGAGGTCCAAGGAAATCAAGCAAAGTGTGTTCCCTCTACGGCCATATTTTCAAAGTCCTCAGGCAGCTCCTCTAAGACCAAGTCCAAAACTCTCAAAATCTCAGTCTCTTCAAGATCAGATGAGTGACAATACATCTGCCGAAACTTATTTTAATAGTTCATTAGCCACTGGCAAACAAAAGACATCATTTAATCACTCCATTGTAGAGAGTTGTTTACATCAACGCTTACCTATATTTCCAATCATTTTGTTTATTATATGTCTCAGAGAAATCAATAAGTTGAGTGTTTTTAGCTGAGTTGTGTGATTCGTCACTGAACTGTGTGTATATTTAAAGCAGGTGGATGTCATCAGCTCCGCTACCTGTGTTTTGACACGGCCTGATTAATACTCCGAGCCGTTTCGCAGGATTTTAACTCAAATAATTATTTCGAATCGATTTTCCGTCAGGGGGTTTGATGTGTGCTTTTGGCCCTGTATTTATTAAAGGAGCAAGGCTCAAGTGAAGCAGGTTATTTTTAGAGAATGTCTGTGCAGTTTGACTGAGCAAGTTCATTTCTGTGTACATGCTAAACACTCAGAAGAGCTGACACGAAGCCTGCCATCATGTACTCGTGTTTCAGAATGTTTTATGCTTTTCTGAAAGCTACTCTGACAAAGCAAATGTCAGTGAACTTGTTAGCACTGGTAATGCTGGCTAATGAGTGACTGCAGGAGTGCTGGTGTTATGCTACAGTAGTTAAGGATAAGTAACAGTTGACAAACAGAAGTATTTCACTGGCTCATTCTAATGAACAATAATCATTTTTTTCATGCAATTACAGCATAAGGTTATGTGGAGGGGATTTAGAAAACCCCAAATATGCTAAACTAAGCTGGGAGAAAGTAATCTCAAATTATGACTAAAAATAAATAAATAAATAAATACCAACAAATTAAGCTTAATGCAGATCAAATAAGCTGGGTCAATGCTATAATAATTATAATAATAATAATAATAATAATAATAATAATAATAATAATTGTATCTAGTTATATACTGTATAGCTATATATATAAATATATATATATATATATATATATATATATATATATATATATATATATATATATATATATATATATATATATATATATATATATATATATAATTGGATATAATAATAATAATAATGAATAAATAAATAATAATAACAATAATGGTCTTTTATAAGACTAATAATTCTAATAATACTACAAATATGTATTTATTTATTTATCATTATATATTGTTGTTACTATTATTGGTAGTAGTGTAAAATGACTGTGAAATTAAATAAATAAATAAATAAATAAATACCAACTAATTAAGCTTAATACAGATTAAATAAGCTGGGTGAATGATAATAATTGTAATAATAATAATAATAATAATAATAATAATAATAATAATAATAATAATAATGGTCCATTATAAGAATATTAATAATACTTATACTACAAATATTTATTTATTTATTTATTTATTTATTTATTTATTTATTTATTTATTTATTTATTGATTGATTTATCATTATATATTGTTGTTACTATTATTGTTACTAGTATTGATAACTTCAATTTATGAGTGTAAACATCCACATACCAATAAATTTTGCTTTATTCCGATGCAGATTTCAAATGTTATTATTATTACTAGGGATGTGATGAGATCTCGGGACTAAATTAAGACGAGATTTCTCGCCGAGGACAAAAGTTGTCTTGTGAGTTGTGATGTTATAATGAAGCGTAAGGATGAATTTAGAGCACTAAAGATTGGAGGAACGATTTGATTTGAACCACAAATCAAATACCTAGGGCGGCTTCAGAGTTCCTCGTTTACCTGGGTGGGTGAGTGTGACTTAACCGTTTATTCTCGTCTCGTTCTTGTGAACCCAATCTTTCATCTCATGTTGTCTTGTGGAGTAAGCGTCTCGTCACACCCCTAATTATCACTATTATGATATCCAATTATATACGTAATACTGTATAACTATTGTATTATTGCATTATATATGTAACAAAAAATATTACATATATAATTGGACATAATAAATAATAATAATAATAATAATAATAATTATTATTATTATTATTATTATTATTATTGGTTATTATTATTATTAGTAGTAGTAGAGGTAGTAGTAGTAGTAGTAGTAGTATTGCTATCATTAATATTTATTTAATTTTATTATTATTAACTTCATTTGATTACTGCAATTTAAATAAAATTGGTAGACTACTGTCCTAAAAGTGTTGATATGAAAAGATTGTTGCCTGTAAAAATGCACTGACCGCTATAAGTTCTAATGTACTCTGGACAGACACTGACCTTGAAGTGCTGCAGTTGTTTGCTGGTCTGTGGCTCGTGTTGCGGCTCTTCTGTTGTGTCCTGCGCGCTGCTCTCACATTGTTGAGCGTTGTCTGGTCTGAGATTGAGATTGAAGATGAAGAGCTCGGTTTCTCTCAGCCAGCTCTTTAACTCCTTTATGCGGCTCTCCAGCTGCGTCACCATCCTGCTGGTGTCTGGAGACAGAAGCTCACGCTGGCTCTGCTGGACCACACTGGGCACCATGTGCTCCGACAGCGTTTTCTGATCACACACAAACAGAGATCCAGTCCATTACATGAGTGTCTATAAACACATACAAGAAACAAACATGGTAGGATAGGCCAATTTAATGTGGTTTAAGGCAATAGCTACTACAACTATGGTGAAAAAAACACTTTGGTGAAAATGATGCGAAAAATGCATGGTATTACTATAATAATAATCCAAAAAAGCTTTACTAAAACAAACTTTACTGAAAAAAATAAAATAAAATAATAAAGAGAATATGAATAAAATGTAATATTTACAAAAAATTTATACATAAAAATAATAGAAAAACATGCATCGAATTAAACATTAGTGAATAACATATTTTTTTTAATTACTTCATTTCAAAGCATTAATGAAATAGTAAACAAAATACAATTTATTCAGTCAAAATTCATATCAAAAGAAAAAAATAGAACATAACAACATAGCAATAGAATGGAAATTACCACAAGAACAGAATGTATTGTATTAAAATATAATAAAATATATTATTATAATAGAATATGATATAAAAAATGAATTAGAATATAATATATCAATAGAATCAAATGTATTGGAATAATATAAAATTAAATAGAATATATCAATATAATAGAATGGGATGTATTAGAATATAATATAATATAATGATATAATAGAACAGATTATTTCAATAGAATAGAATAGATTTTTTCAATAAAATACTATAGAATGGATTATTTCAATAGATTTGAATAGAATAGAATGATTATTTTATTAGAATAGAATATAATAGAATATTTTAAATAGATAGTCAAATTAATAGAATAGATTAGATTAGTCCAATAAAATAGAATAAAATAAAAGATAAATAATTAGAATGGATTATTTCACTAGAATAGAAATTAAGAGAATAGAATTGATCATTTCAATAGAATAGAATTGATTATTTCAATAGAATAGAATAGAATAGAATAGAATAGAATAGAATAGAATAGAACAGAATAGAATAGAATTGATTATTTCAATAGAATAGAATAGAATAGAATAGAATAGAATAGAATAGAATGGATTAGTCCAATAAAATACAAAAGAATAAAATAGAATGGATTGTTTAAATAACATCTCTGAAAACTGAACTGACAGTTTCAATTTCAATTTACTAGAACTTATATCTTAAGATAGAATAAAATACATAGAATATATCAATATATTAGAATAGGATGTATTAGAATAATACAGAAAAGAATATATTAATAGAATAGAACAGATTTTTTTAATCGAATAGTATAGAATTGATTATTTCAATTCATTTAAATAGAATAGAATATTACAATAGAACAGAATAGATTATATTAAAATATAATAGAATATATTAATATAATAGATTAAAGTGTGTTTTAATTAAAAAATAGAATATATCTATAGAGTAGAATAAAAAAGATTATTTTAAAAGGATATAATAGAATACAATATAATCTAATAGGTTATTTTAATATAATAGAATACAATAGATAGAATAGAATAGAATATACCAATAGAATTGAACAGAATATATCACTATAATAGAAAGTATTAGAATAGAATACATTAATAGAATAGAATGTATTGGAATAAAATAGAATTAAATAGAAAATATCAATATAACAAATAGGATGTATTAGAATATAATATATCGACAAAATAGAATAGATTATTTCAATAGAATAGAATAGTACATAATTGATTATTTCAATAGAATACTATACAATGGATTATTTCAATAGATTTGAATAGAAAATAATTAATTATTCCAATAAAATAGTTCAACTAAACTTTAAAAATTCTGCCGAGCTCCTATTGCTAGCATTTAATTAAGAAGCAAGACATGGCGTTGGTCCACATGAGTGCGGAGCTCCTCAAGTGTCTGATAACAGGCTGTTTCACCTGATGAGCCTGAAGGGGTTAAAATCTCATCACACAAAGTGGCATTTCAGAGCAACATTCAAATGTCTGTTGAATAGCAAACAATCAGCCGCACAAAAAACACACCAATGATTTCAGAAATGGGCTCCGCTGAACAATTTTCCCCCGAATGACAGCGAGAGATGCGAAAACCATGCTGAGCTGCAGTTTGTCTGTCTGTGTGTGTGTGTGTGTGTGTGTGTGTTTGTGTGTGTGTGTGTGTGTGTGTGTGTGTGTGTGTGTGTGTGTGTGTGTGTGTGTGTGTGTGTGTGTGTGTGTGTGTGTGTGTGTGTGTGTTTGTTTGTGTGTTTTCCCACCTGCCTGGCAATCACACTTTTTTTCGAGACAGGTTGAACCTTGTATACTGAGATGGCAATTGCAAGCACAATACACACCATTATCCAATTAATACACACAGTGGCTGCTGTAATTGTCCTTCCTTTATGTGTCTGGACGCCGGAATGGAAACAGATGTGATTATGACGCAGCAATGAAGTGGCGATTTCAGCATGCGGCATCAATTAAGCTCTCTGGGTTTTGGCCTTTATTAACACATCTGTGTTCGCAGTGGAAAGAGCGGAAAACATTGACTCTCCGACTCAGTGGCAAGGGACATTTTAGCTTTTATGTGAAAATGGGCTCTTCTGGCCGAAAACAAATGTTGAGGCTTTTCTGCAGGGCTAACTGAGGCAAAAGCCAAACTCATGGTGATTTTATGAGACATCAGTGCTCATGGAGCGCTAAAAAGTTAAATCACCTAGTAACTCTTGCTGTACTTTTTGCTTTTGGCTGATCTCAGATATTATTGTTTTAACTGTTGTAACAAATACAGAGATGTTTATCTTTATCTTTTTTCCTTTTCTTTCAGCAAGGATGATTAAAATGATAATTAAAAATTATGATAAATTTAATGATGGACTTAATTGGATAATTGTTACCAAAAAAAAAGGGTGTAGATGTTTCAACAAAATCTTTAAAAAAAAATCTTCAGCAGCAAATAAACATTTAGAATGATGCAATAAAAATAATAGATGATATTTTTAAATACATTTCAATAGAATAATAGCTTTTTAAAGCTTGTAATAGTATTTAATAAACTAGTACTGTTTTTACCATACACTCACCAGCCACTTTATTAGGTACACCTTACTAGTACTGGGTCGGACCCCCATTTTGCCTTCAGGTCTTAATCCTTCGTGACATAGATTGAACAAGCTACTGGAAATATTTCTCAGAGATTTTGGTCCATATTGAGATGATAGCATCATGCAGTTGCTGCAGATTTGTCGGCTGCACATCCATGATGCAAATCCCTCGTTCCCCCACATCCCAAAGGTGATCTATTGGATTGAGTTCTGTTTTGTGTTTTGTTTTTTTCTGTTTTCAGACGATGGGTACACTGTGGTCATAAAGGCATGGACATGGTCAGCAACAATACTAAGGTAGGCTGTGACGTTGACATGATGCTCAGTTGCTACTAAGTCCGTACTAATTCTATTCATATTGTACTGCTTGTTCCTGTTTGACCATTGCCTACCTGAAGCGTTTTAATAAAAAGTTAGGAAAGCAATCAAACGCTTTCATTTTAACGTTAGATGTGTGCATTTTTAAAGTGACACCTCTGTTATTTAATGTAATCAAATGAAAAATCCAAATAAATAAGATTCATTAGCTGCTCTTTAATCAAAGTGTGTATACAGTGAAGAAAAGGTTCATGAGATTTGATAACTTGATTCTATTTCTTTATGATAGCTATTCTTTTTTATAAGCTAAACTGCTAATTTATTTGCTGCTAATGTAAACTATGTATTTTTTTCTGTTGTAAATAATAATAATAATAAAACATACCGTTTAACTGTTGATTTACAATGAAACAGCTCCAAATAAACAGATTTAGTAATTTAGGGATTTTTTTTTGGGGGGGGGGATCACTTATTGTAGTGTGCATATCCCTTATTTTTACGTCCCAAAGTTGACAGGTATACATGCAAATCAGCCTGTCGTGGGAGACCTCCAAAACCAAAATATGACCTTTTATAATGCAAAACAGGGGCTCTTTAACTTAATCAGTTTTAACAAATTTAAGTGGATTGAACATAAAACAATTAAGTTGTCCTCAAAAACACCAAAAATTGAGTTTTATCAACTCATTTTGAACAAACAGCAAAAGTCTTTTTTTGAATGCTGTTTAAAATATTTCACTTTTTTTGTTTAGTTAAATTCTGCAGGTCACACAGCCATAAAAACCCTGCAAAAGTGTTCAACAAGCACGTTTACTTCAACCAAGACCAAATAAGCTATTGTTTCACAGTCAGAGAGCTGAATCTCTCTCTCCTTTTATTTCTCTGTCCTCTCCACTCATCTGAATACAGATGATTTGATGGGCATCAATGCAATCCAGATCCAGCCATTGTTTTCTCTGAGTAACAAATGTCTCAGTGGGAGGTGAAGTCGGTGCCCTTGGAGGGTCACAATGCAAGCAAAAAAAAAAACTGAAGAAAAAAAACAGGAATTTATTGCCACTTTATTTTGCTCTGGAACAGTTTGCAATCATAAATTCTTCATAAGCAGAATACTTCAGAGAATGGTCTGTCTTCATAAATATATATGACAGGGGACATCAATTTCATTTAATTCACAATTTGTGTCAGCACAGCAGATGCCAATGGCTGACTTGATAGGCTTGTTTAATATGCAATAGAGACGGCGTAATGCAATGCGGTGCAGGGATTGAACTCTCCGCACCGCTGCCGCTTTATTCCTGTCGCACGCGCCCTAACCAGACGCCACTCAACACACACACACACACACTCACGCCACTCACTAAAGTTTGCCGTGGCCAAGCAGCGGAGAATATTCCTGCTATGGATATTTCTAATTAATGCTTGATTGCGACCGGGAAGCCAAGATGTGAGTTGTTTGACACTTTGAAAGTCTACCAAAAAATTCATGTTTCAGATCAAAGGCTGTTATGCTAATGTTGAAGAGCGTTGCAGATGCATATTCACATGTGTGAGTGTGTTTACTCTTTATTAGCGGCGATAAATTATTTAGCCTCATATCACTGTGGAGAGCTGAGGAACTTCTTTATATAAGGAAAAAATGGTGATTATCCTGCTGGAAAGTTATACAGTGAAAATGTACGATCAGTAGCTGGTCTAAACTGGTTCTTGAGTTTTATCAGAATAACAATAAAATAAGTATATATACACTACCTGAAAAAAGTCCTGGCAAAAGACTCTGGATTACACTTATTTTAGCAAAATAAAATATGATCATGCCTTGATTTTAAATTGTTTTATTAGGACAGTAAGGTCTGATTTTGCTTAGACAAAAAGCTTGTCACTTAACAAAAATAATGTACAGTATAGAATATAAAGTGATGCGGCAGTGGAAAAAGAATGAATATTGTGGATGACTCCATGAGCTTGGAGGACTGCATCCATACATCTCTGCAATGACTCAAATCACTTATTAATAAAGTCATCTGGAATGACAAAGAAAGCATTCTTGCAGGACTCCCAGAGTTCATCATGATGTTTTGGATCTTACCCCAGACATGCTCAATAATGTTCATATTTGGTGACTGGGCTGGCCAATCCTGGAAGTATGAGGAGGAGCGCTATCTTGCTGAAGAATGTGCCCTCTCCTGTGGTTTGTAATGTAAGGGGCAGCACAAATGTCTTGATACCTTAGGCTGATGATGTTGCCATCCACTCTGCAGATCTTTCACACACCCCCATACTGAATGTAAACCCAAACCATGATTTTTCCTTCATAAACTTGACCTATTTCTGTGAATCTGTGAAGATTCTTTCTGAGAATCTTGGGTTCATGCATATATAAAGTCTCTTCTGCTCTCCAAAGTAACATTTTTGAAATTCAAAATTTTCTAAGTGTCATTTTTTACTATTTATAGCATTTTTGCTTAAAAAAAAAAAAAAAAAAAAAAGATTAATTTAGTTAAATTAATTGAAACCAGTTTGTAGGCTACATTTTTGAGAGGACACTGATGTTTTGCGATTCTTTTATAAACTGAAAGGCCAAAAGATCATTATTTGAAATAAAAATCATTGTTACTTTATAAAGTTAATTACTGATCAATTTAATGCATAGCTGCTGAACAGAAGCATTAATGTATTTACAAAAATATACTGATTTCATTACATATTTTATTATTATTCATCTAAAATGTATTTAGATGGATTTATTAGTTCATATGGAAACAGTGATGCATTTTTGTCAGGATCTTTATTTTGTAAAGTCATAAATACATTTTGTGTCAATTTTGATCAATTATAGCATCCTTGATTAAATAAAAAGAGAATAATTTATTTTTAAAAAAGTTAAAAACAGATCTGATGTTACATATTTTCTTATTATTACTTTGAAAGCAGTTGTGCTGCTATTTATATGAAAACAGTGATGTGTTTTTTTCTTAAGATCCTTTATTGAATTTATTTGATTGAATTTATTATTTAAAAAACAACTGAGCTACTATTTATTTATTTATTTGTTTGTTTGTTTGAAAACAGTGATTTTTCCCCCCAGGATTCTTTATTGAATTATTATTATTTATGAATTTGTTACTCCTAAAACAGTTGTGCTGCTATTTATTTCTATCTTATATATATATATATATATATATATATATATATATATATATATATATAGATATATATATATATACATACATACATATATACATACATACATACATACATACATACATACATACATACATACACACACACACACACACACACACACACACACACACACACACACACACACACACACACACACACACACACACACACACACACACACACACACACAAAATCAAAATTATTAGTCCCCCTTTGGATTTTTTTTTTAATATTTCCCAAATGATGTTTAACAGAGCAAGGAAATTTTCACAGTACATCTGATAATATTTTTTTCTTCTGGAGAAAGTCTTATTTGTTTTATTTTGGCTATAATAAAAGCAGTTTTTAATTTTTCAAAAACCATTTTTTAAGGTCAAAATTATTAGCCCCTTTAGTCTATATGGAACAAACCATCATTATACAATAACTTGCCTAATTATCCTAACCTGCCTAGTTAACCTAATTAACCTAGTTAAACCTTTAAATGTCACTTTAAGCTGTATAGAAGTGTCTAGTAAAATATTAATTACTGTAATTATGGGAAAGATAAAATAAATCAGTTATTAGAGATGAGTTATTAAAACTGTTGTTTAGAAATGTGCTTTTAAAAAAACTTCTCTTCGATAAACAGAAATTGGGGAAAAAATAAACAGGGGACTAAAAATTCTGACTTCAAATATATATAAATAAGTAATTAACAATATAATCGATTCTGTTACAAAAGTTGTATATATATGTATATATATATATATATATATATATATATATATATATATATATATATATATATATACAGTATATATATATATATGAACTGAAATTGTATATATGTGAAAAAAAAACATTCATATGAGCAAACAGCTTAAAAATAGAAATAGTAACGCTGAAAAGACACAGCAAAAAGAAATCCGGATTGTAGTTCAACTTAAAACGCCTTTGTAAAACAGTCTACCTTTGACATTCATCAATGAGTTTTCAAAACAAAGACACATTTATGCAGCGGTTTTTAAACATTTTCTAGTATTCTCAGCTCCCGGTTGTGTTCTGCAGGGTGTTGTGGATGAAGGAGAGATCAGGCTCAGGGAGTGACATTCATCCAACACCACACACTTTCCTTCATAAAGCAAACCACACTGATGTGATGCTCTGTGTTTTTAACAGCCACTTCCCAAGCAGGACTCTTAAGTGTTAAGTAAAAACAAGCATCATGTTTTTGTGTGGACAGCAGGACAAACTAACCTGGAGTTGATCCCACTTGCTCCTGAGGGCCGAGAGCCGCTGGTCAAAGTCAGCAGGGAGTTCGGAGCCGCTTCTCTTCAGACTTTCAGACCAGCCCAGAAGATGAGTCTTTTTGGGAAGCCACATGGACATCTCTACACTGTTGCCCTGTGCAAACACACATGCAAGAAAGAGAAGTTTTAGGATTGGCTTTTAGATTTTATTACAGGCAGTCTTAGATGAGAATTTAAACTGTTTCACCATTTTTTAATGGGTGATAAATCTAATTATGTATAAGATATATTACATTAAAGAGGACCTAATTTGCAAAAATCACTTTTATAAGGGGTTTATTCACAGTTGTGGGGCAACAGTCTGTGAATATAACCATGGTAAAAGTGTATTTTTTTAAAAATAATTCTGTAGAAACACTTTTATTGACATTCTCCCATTGTTTGTGTCATCAGAGGGGGAAAGCCCCGCCCATTAGTGACAATCTCTCCCTCATTAGCATAGAACATTAGTCTTGTTTTTGAATCTGCCACTATGCTGACACACAGGCATTAGTAGCTTTGCCCTCATTCAAAAAAGGGCACAATCTCATTTGAATTTAAAGTGACAGTCACCAAAAATTGTACAACTAGTATCAAAGTCTAAAAGGGGCAGTTTTAAAGAGCTATAAAACGTTATTTGTGTGGTATTTTGAGCTGATACTTCACATACACACTCTAGGGACATCAAAGACTTAATTTGCTTATTGTACAAAGGGGCATAATAGGTCTCCTTTAATACTTAAAAATACTTAAATGATGTGAATCCAGCATAAAAGTGTCATTATCACCGCCTGTTGGTTCGGGTCGCTCTTATGTGTTTTTGAGTCTTCGTGTTTAAAGAGATGTTTTAAATTAAACGAAAGTAGGGAAAACTCTTTATAAAAATATCCCATGTACGTGTGGATTTGGCCTGAATGCATCTGGTTATTGAAACCAAATATGGAAATTGAACTTTAATATAAATAAATGAATATATACAGTATATATATATATATATATATATATATATATATATATATATATATATATATATATATATATATATATATATATATATATATATATATATAACAGTGCCATTGTGGTCCTGTGGTCAGCACGTTGCGTTAAGACGTCTTCGATCCGAGTTCGATCCTCACCTAAGAATTTTTGTTTTTTCATTTTTATTGTTAAGACATATAAAACTGTGAGGTTGTTGAACATTTGAAGTTCTAAAGCAGCTGTTTTCTTGAAAGAGACGTGATAGTTTAATTAGAAACTGAATTGGAAATGACCTTATTTTAATATAGTCAGTCGTGAACTGAGGTGGGCCGGTCTAATGCTTGAAACTCCAGGGCTGAAAAGGAGTCCTACTCCGGCCCTCCTCTGCTGGGTCAGTTGGCAGTTCAGTTTGCATGTTCTCCGCGTGTTCGTGTGGGTTTCCGCCGGGTGCTCCGGTTTCCCCCACCAGTCCAAAGACATGCGGTAGAGGTGAAATGGGTAAGCTAAATTTGTCCCTAGTGTATGTGTGTGAATGGGAGTGTATGACTGTTTCCTATTGATGGGTTGCGGGTGGAAGGTCATCCACTGCATAAAACTTACTGAATGTAACCCTAAACCATGATTTTTCCTTCACCAAACTTGACTGATTTCTATGTGAATTTTGTGTCCATGTGGGCTCTAATTGGTCTTCTGCAGTATTTGTGATGATTAGGATGCAGTTCAACAGATGATTCATCTAAAAAATCTACCTTCTGACACTTCTCCAAATGATCAACTAGAAGTCAAGTTATTAATTTTTGCTCTCGACAAATCGATGACAAGACTTTTGACAGGTAGTGTTTTCCAATACTACATTTCATGAGTTATTCACAGGTGATTTTCTCATGTGATTGCCCATATGGAGCTCGTGTGGTTAGTCTGTAAGGGTCAGCTCATTTCTAACAGTCACTTTCTGCACCAATTCAACACAACTATAACATTTCTGTTCAACTGCTGGACTAACATACAGTAAAAGATGAAAGTGATGCTATTTGACACCTTTTTTTTGGTTAATTTCTCTCTTCCTCAGTCTCTCTCTCATCTCTCTCTCTCCCCCCCTTTCATTTTCTGCATCAATAGCTACTTGATTCTAGTTTTCGGTTGTCATTTATCATTATGGCGGATGCGCATTTAAATATTTAAATGTGCTGTTTTCCCCCTCCGTTCCTCGCTGTCATCCGGCCAGCGTTCATTTTTCACTGTCGTTTGTTTTGATGGAGATGCTATCACACATCCTTTTAAATCATTCATCCCTTTCAGTTTTTAATAGTGGCCGCCAAACTAAAGACGCTCCACTTTAAAGTAGAGGGGATTACACAATTTGTTTGTTGACAGCAAATATTGATTTTAAGTCCTCTCGTTGGTTTAAAAAAACTGGCAGGTTATTGATGGAGAACGCAGACGGAGGGAAAGATAGCCTGAGTCATTAGGATGCCAGAGCGATGAGGAGCTGAAGCATCATGCTAACCTTCCCTACGTGCATGGCTGACTTTTTGGCCCTTGAGTCACTTTCTCCGTTGCAACCTAGATAGGCTGATTTGCATACTTAACCCCAAGGAGCTGGCGCTTGAAAACTTTAGAGTCAGCTGTGTAATTGACGGTGAGGAAAAACATATTCCAGGGCCAAAGGACGCCAGCGAGGTGGAGGTGTGACGGAAATCCATGATTCTGGCATTAACCCTGATGAACACGGCTAACCTGAGCTACCTGAGCAAACTCGGGAAAGTTTGCTTTTAAAAAATGGGTGCAAAACAGGACTCACCTGTTACAAGCCAATGCTATTTTAGAGTTTCTAAGTTACCACTTTGATTTTTAATAATAGTTTAAGACTTTATAAGGGCATAGATTGTGATAATAAAAGGAAAAACCCTTGAGTGTAACTTGGTTATTATTATTACAAGTCTTTTATGGCTTAACATTTGTTTTCATAACATTGTAATCAATTAAGATATCTTATATAGTTCCTCACCCAATAAAAGGTCACATTAATTCAATTAAATTCAAATCTTTATTTCTATAGCGCTTTTACGATGTAGATTGTGTCCAAGCAGCTTAACAAAGAAGTTTAATAAAGTGAAACTGCTTCAGTCCAGTTTTCAGAGTTGAAGTTTAGTTTAGTTTAGTTCAGTTCAGTTTAGTTTAGTTTAAATTCAACCCATGCTCATTCTGATTATGTATCCCTATAAACATTTCTGGAGAGAGTAAAATACGTCCCAGGACCAGTTGTTGTTTTTTTTTTGCAGTTTTTGTTTTTGCGAAACCTCCAAAGGCCACTGTGTACACTTTTTTTCTCACTAGTGCTTTTTGTGCCTGCTGTTCTCACATAAATCTACCAGAGGTCGCTGTCGACTGACTGACTGACTGACTGATTGAACAATACCCCACCCTCCCCCTTCCCTAAACCCAATTAATAGTATATTAAAAAGCACCAATTGACCCACTCATCCTCTTTCCTAAACCCAAACGCTGTTTTTTTTTAAAAGGAATCCAGAAAAATAACTGATTTATACCACGTTTTCAGATTTTACCGTATTCTCACCCTGTTATTTACTTGTTTATTTTTTGGCTTTCATTTTTGTTTAACTTGAGAGATCAGTGTTCTGCATTCGTGTAAAAGTTGCGCATCAATGGATTTGTTCTTCAGTTTTTGGACTTTCAGCAGTGAAAATTAAACCACACTGAACTGAACTAAACTGAACTTTAACTCTGAAAACTGGACTAACACAGTTTCAATTTACTATAATCTTCTATGTTAAGCGGCTTTGACAAAATCTACATTGTAGAAGTGCTATAGAAATAAACATGAATTTAATTATGCTGTTGTCATGGCAATATATGTTTTTTTTTTGCACATAAAAAAAATAAAGGTTGCTTTTTTTTAACATACTTTTTTCCCACAAAAGATTCTTTACAGTGGAAAAAAGGGCAGATTCTTTAAACATTCTTTAAAGTACTATGAAGAACTACTCTTAATATTCTTAGAGAAGTGAAAAATGGTTCCAAAACCCCTGCAAAAAATAACTAATATAATGTATAAAATATTCAATAGTTGGCGGTTCATTCTGCTGTGGCAACACCGGATAAATATGGGACTAAGCCAAGGGAAAATGAATGAAGAATTTAATAATATTTTGATTTTAAATAGTATTTTCACTTATGTTGTTTTTTGTCTATGGCTAGTTAAACTGAAATAATTTCATGGCAAATCTTAAATATGTAATTTATTTTAGAATTTTACATATGTACTTGAAGCTTTTTGTTATTGTTTTCCATATAGTATTGTTCAAATTGTTTACTAAGTGCAATATTATTCAGAGTGTTACACAGTGGATGCCTACAAAAGATTTGCGGATCCAAATGCTGTTTATTGAGGCAAGGTTGTGCAGGCAAAGGTCATGAACATGAGCAAAACTGTAGTACAAGGAAAATCCAATAAACGTGGTTGGTGTAAGGCGGAATATGAATGTAATTTAATGTTGATGATTAACAGAACACTTTAGTTATTGTAAGTTTGTCAATCAAATTTAAAGTCCCCCTCTGTACAAAAATGGAACTGTCCAACCCCGCACTTTGCACTAATGAGTGCAGTTTTTGACTGGAGTTTGCAGCAGCTCTGAAAACGAAACCAAAAGTGCTAGCCAGCGAACTTTTCTGATTTGCTGGTCAAGGACATACATAATAAAATGACAAATGAGTATAATGAGAGAGGTATAATAACATATTATTCTGGTTTAACTTGTTTTCAGCATTAAATGAAATCTTATTTGAAGTATTGGTGGACGTAAAAGACCTAGAATTACAATTTAGTCACTTCAAAAGTAGCTAAATGTGTTACTTAGCTACTTTTTAAGGAAAGTTGAGTGAAAGTATGTGTTATTTATTTATTTATTTGCTTATTTATTTGCTTATTTTTTCATTTATATGCATTTTTTAAGAGTAGCTTTAGGCTTATTTATAACACTGCTTAATTGCAGTTCTTAAGCATAAACATTATTTTTTATACCATTTATCTATAATATAATATAATATAATATAATATAATATAATATAATATAATATAATATAATATAATATAATATAATATAATATAATATA